TGCTTAGAAACACTTTAGGGATGTTGATTATGCAGCTGCTGCATGTGAACAACTCCCTTTGCCCTCATAGTCTGACAGTGCTCTGGAGAAGCCTCTTCACTGATTGACTGGACCTCTTGCTCTCTTCCCTTCCTGGACTGCAAACTGATTTGCCCAGGGCTGAAAACTGTATTTTCACTTTATCTTGGTCTCATATGCTACTTTAATGACCCTCAAGGAAAATCTGAAAATGTGGTATTTGCAAAGTTGAAGCTAAACTTCTGAGGCTTCTTGTTTTGCCAATAAAAACAGACTCCCCTCCAAAGCATCCACGACTGATGTGTTAATTTACAACTTTTCTGTTGTTGCTCATAGTTTAGCGTGTCCCCCAAGAGCCCAGGGAATTCAGCCAAGTGGAGGACTTTACTATGAAGCTTCTTTTTTCTTTGCAAGTCTGTTTCTCTGTGGCAGTCTGACAGTGCTTAAGAAATCAATCCCAGGTGAGAGGCTTTTCAGTGTGACTTGAGTTAAGGTGATTGTGCCCTACACTTCTTTGGATACTGTTGTCTTTCAGCCAGATTCATACATGAGCTGCATCTGGAAGATGCTACGACTAAACCCCATTCTTTTCACAATTTTAAGACTGTTAATACAGAACAGTTCAGTTGTGGGACATCTGTTGTGGTACGTTTGGTGGAGGAGCTGTGAAACCTATTCCAAATACTGCTTTTCTGCTCACTTTCCTGTTTGTTGCACTTCCTAGTTGACTTTAACAATATTCACTTATAACAAGTACGACAATCACGGGAGTTTGCAACAGCACAGGTACAACAACAGCATAGGTTGCAACTCCTCACTGGCATGTCTGAATCTGTTAGGATTTTTGCTCTTCAGAAATTCTTACCAACAGGTCATCATATGTCTTAAGCACATTCAGGACTTTGCTCCGAGGTATCAGGTTAAGTAATCAGACTGATACTAACAAAGTCATACAATGTATTTGAAATTCACTCTTCCTGCAGGCTGTACAGACTCTGGGCATATCTCAGCTTCCTACTATATCCTATTTTAAGCATTCAAGAGGAAATTAAATGCTAGACCAACCTTATATGAAAGGTAAATTTTGGTGAGCTGAAACAATAAACAATGTGGCCAGTATGTGTTAAAATAATACAAGCCGAAATACTGTGTCTAGAAAATTATCTTGGGTTGTAAATTAATATTCTGCAGCTTGCCAAACTAAAATATTCTCCATTTATCTGACAAAAAGGATGAGCTGGCTGCAGACATGGATTTGGCACTGAGTTTGTTGTTTAACTGAGAGATGGAATTGAACCTGGAAAAGAAGGAAGGTCACAATACGCATTCCTCCGCTCTATCAAATCATAGTTCAGAGCCAATTTAAATACAAACAAGAATTGATAAAGCTAGATTTGTCTGCTGCAAATGAGGAAAGCATAGTGTGACCTAATAGGAAGCTAAGGCCAGAATATGAACTGATTAAAAAATACAATTAAGTGAACTGTTTATGACAAGTGCTGTTAAATGCAGAATTTCTTACTGCAAGAGGACAAAAATGTGGGTAGTAAAATAAAGATGAAAATAATCTTTTTGAGGTGTGGAGACATACTGGTCTTGCCAACCACATTTTTTTAATTTTAAAAAGCTAATGCTTCTGTTCTCTGTAGGAAATGGATTTAACTGTGTGTTCTGTGTGCAGGGTAACACTCCAGGGTATAGTAAAGAATGAGTCAAGAGGATTATGAAGCAGGCAAAATGTGATTCACCAAAAGGAGTGCATACTTCTTTTGGGGTGTCATCATAAGAATATTGTGTAACTTCTGAGAAATTCCTGACCTAGATTTTCCTGTCTTGGGTGTTTTTGTTGTTCAAGTATTGTTTTTTTGGATAACAATGAAAGTTTTGTGCAACACCCCTGGGGCAGGGGTGGGAAATGACAACCCTGAATAAAGGGAGAAAAGTTTTAGGAAAATCCTTGGGAGTTGTGGGGTTTAAATGCTCAGAGATCCTCTTGCATCTATGAAGAGTGGGAAGTTGTGGGAAGGAAGAGACGTACATGACTTTCATCATGTTTTACACCCCAAGGCTAGAGGTGGTTGAGGGATAGTTCTAATCCCCAACTCAAAGCAAGTTGGAGGTTGTTCTGATTTGCTATGGCAGTGCAATGGAACATAAAGGATGTCTGGGATTCTCAGAGAGCTCTAGTCTACTTGAGAAACCAAAACCAGATTGGTTTTACACTTTCTGGTGATTTCTTGAAGCTGTGAGCAGAAAAGATCTTTTAAGCCCCAAGGACGTGCTATTCAGTACACTTGCAGGAAAGGAAGGTTACAAGCGATCTCTAGATCTTTCTCTTCTGCAGACTTAGTGTCTTCAGTATCAAATTACTCAATTTTTATGCCCTTCTATGTCTCAGACACTGGAATACAGCTAAAGCCCCATGGTGTTACGCTACCTTTAATTAAATACAATGAAACAAAATCTTGTTAATGATAAACAGACATGTGAGGTTTTTGTTTAAACACATGTCCAGTTGCTCACTGAAAGAGGTAAGAAATTGCAACTGTATTTCCTTTAATTTATTAGATCTGTCAGGGTTAAAAATAATATCTAAGATAAGATAATAGCACTATAAATTTTGCTTCTTCATTTGAAAAATTATTTATGGTCCTTTTATTTGCCCAAACGATTTCTATTAAAAGTTAAGATTCTTATTCTTCAGCATTTCTCTAAGTTCTGAATCTAGACAGAACTTTTAGACACGAAACACAGTTGGCATACAAAACAATACCTCTTTTTGTAGCTGTCTCATTTCAAGCAAGTACAATTGTTGATTGAAAATCTTAAATTTTCTTTAGTTGCAGCTTAAATGAATGTGTATTAGTTACTTCAAGTAACCTGAAAAGCTGCACTTTCGAACCTGACCCAGAGCCTGTTGAAGTCTTTCTTTCTATTTAACTGACTGACACTGGAATGAATTAGGCCCTTTCTCTTTAATTATCCCAGCTACAAGCAATGTTGTTTGGGTGACGTTCTGATCTCACGCACCAAAAGAAGGATTTTTGACAAGAAGTCTTCCCATGTTAAAATCAAATACTGCACAAGTTGAATGCCTCTGGGATTCTGGTGTCTTTCTGTTGGAATCACCAACAGAGGAAATATTTTCCCTAAATTAATATGTGAAAGAAACTCATAAGGTCACTTCGTCATGGTTGTGAGATTTGTGATTACTTTGTAGTAGAAAATAATAGAACTCCCTCTTGGAGTTTGCCTGGTTTAAAATATATGATAAAATGGTGTTGGAGAGACTAACTTACAAAGTGAATTCAAATTGTTGAAGAGAAATATATAGCCTGCATTCCTGAGCTGTATTTTTTTAATGCTGAATGGTAATAGCAAAACTGTCTATGGCAGGAAAAGAGAGTTTTTATTGATGAAAGTTGTAGAACCTTAGTATGGGTATCAAATTTTAGTGTGTATTAAGACATTGCTAATTTGAAATTAGAATTTAATAAAAAAAATTGAAAACCTTGAAAAACCACATAAGTTCTTTCTCATTGTTAAGGTTTGTTTTAATAATGAGCTGTCAGTGTAAACTTTTTTCATTTAATACTGTGAGAAACGTGCTGTACTTCTAGTTATGTTTCATCACATTTCCTCGTGATTCAAAAAATTGGGCAGAATGTCATGCAAATCTTTAACACATGGGAACTTTGTGATCTTGACAACAAAGCAGCTTCAAGGGTTTTGTGTTGTTTTATTACTTTAGGCAGAACTGCAATGTGTGAAATATGAAGGTTTTGTAAAAATTGGCGACAAGAAATTACTACAATTCCCTGGAATAATTACAATTAAAAAGTTTCTTGAATATAAATTAAGAAAACAAAATCTTCATCTTAATTTAATCCTCTCTTTTCAGCTGTAAAAAAAGTAACAGGAAACTTCACTGTTGGCCACAGTTTGTATTTTTCCTTCAGAATCAAGACATCTATTTGGGAGCACTCATAAATCTGTCAAACCTGCACAGCAGATCCACACACTGTGTTGTTGCCTTGGACTTGTGGCAACATCCAGGAAAGAGGGGGAATCAAGATTTGTTTGTTTTGCCTTGCTATGTTGTTTTCCCTGCCAACAGCTTCTAATTGGTAATATGCCACAGAAGTGAAGTAATTTTATTATTCATTGTTGATTTCTGGCCTTATAAGATGTTTACAACTTTTATAGACGTTCTGTTTTTAAGGCTAAAAAAACACCACCATATATATATGTATTTTCTCCAGACTGTTATCTTACTTAAATGGCATTAGAGCATGGCCTTTCTCTAGGATGAATAAAAGAGGTGGTGTCCTTTAAAACACCATTCATCCTTTTCTGTTTTCCAAATAAAAGGTGTCTTTGGATCAAGGCCTGTTTATAAAGGCCTCAGAACTGAAACTTTTTACCTAACTGTTCTTAAACTAGATGGTTTATAATCTAACTGTTTTTAATTATACTTCTGACAAAAACTGCTGCATTGTCCTGAACCTGTATCAACAGGAGTTTCGCCATTTTACTTCAATGAGGACTAAGGTTGGGTAGGAAGTGGTAGACAGAAATCCTTGTCAGCTGTTAATGACACGAGTTCAAGTCATTTCATAGTTATTACAGGCTATAAAGCTGTTAGCTTGACTTACAGGGCATAATTCTATGTAATGTACTAAAGCTACATACACAGCCACCTCCTGAGTCGGGAAGAAGCAGTGCTGTACAGCATAGTGTATTTCTGTGTAGCCTGACTGTAAGACTAATCCGACTTTGTGGCAAATTCATTGTGTATGTGGAAATTAAATAAGGCTCTTAAGTTTATCCTGTGCTTGAACTATCTTTAAGCGATTATGGTTTTCCCTTGTTCTTGCTATGAAAGACTAAAGTATTTTCAAAAACTGGCAATACAGATTCATTCCAGATGTTAAAGAAACTGCTCGAAGTTAAATGGACCTAAATAGCAAGTGATTTTTTACTTATGCTTTTCATTATGTCAAAATGACAGAGACTTACCAGTTCCTCGTAATTCGATGGTAAATTGTAAGTATATGAATAAGGAAACAGTAGCAGCTGGGAATACGAGTGAATCGTCAAGTATGCCTTGATTGTAGAAAGATGTTCACGAATAAAATCAGCCAAAGCCTTGGTCTCCTTTTCAGACTCAGGTGCAGAGCCACAGTAAGTGGAATCACAGGGGTTGTCTGAGGCCCCAGTTGCTGGGAAGAAAGTTGAATTTATTAAGTATTTAATGACAAAAGTGGTTGTTAGGAGAGTCATGTTATACCACTTTCATAGATAAGCCTTGGAAATCCTACTGACACACATGCCATATCAGAAAGAATATTTTATTGCATAGCTAAGATCCTGGGCAACATAACAGCATTGAATAAATACGGCCTGTACAGTGTACATAATTGGAAGAATATGAATATTGATGTAAAGTCCTATGTTATGTAACTGATTTGGGATATTGATTTGCTTCAGTAGTAAACAGTCCTCTCCTTGTGTATCCCCCATTTCTAGATGCTTCCAGGAAACAGCCAAGTGAAACCACTCAAAAGAGACCCCTCTCCACCTAGTGAAACCAACTAAAAGAAAAATATTTTTGTTTCTGTTCTGAACTTATAGAAGTGTGTGTGCATATGTATATATGTATACATGTGTGTAGACGTGTGTAAGTGTGTATGCATATATATGCATGTTTGCGTGTATATATATGTTCATAGAAGTAGCCATACTGATGATGCTAGTTGTAACCGAAGTCTGGTTTTTGCCCAAAACTACTCCAAAATTGAACACAAGCTGCTCCACAATGCTGTACTGGTAGTGTTCACTCAAGCTTGAGCTGGACCAACCATTAGGTAGGCAAAATCCATAATTACATCTTGGTTATTTCACCTATGTGTGGTCACTTGCAGCTATTGTTAGGAGACACTTACTGCACCAGCCAGCATTAAAATTCCTGTTGAGATCTGTACCAACGCAAAGGCTACCAGTATTTTTAGAGCGTGTCTTTCTCCACATGCGGTTCTGAAATAGAATGGTGAAGCACAGATCAAAACTAAGAACGTTCTAACAGTTGGCTTCTGCAGCAATACTCCTCTTGAGAAAGAAGAATGTACTTACATTTGTCCAAGTGTAAACATAACCATCAATATTAACAACAGGCAAAACATAGAAGTCCAAGCTGTTGAGAAGTGTGGTCAGGACAGTATCTTTTCCATAGGTCTCAACAGCCTAGTTGAAGGGAAGTAGAAAAAGATGATGATGCCTTCATAAAGCTGTATCTTCTGCATGTATTTAAAGGCCTGGGTCTGAATTGGTTGTTAATGAATGTGGTGGTGAAAGTCATCTAGGTCACTCCACCACGTGAGGTGGCAGCTCTCTGATATTACATATATTTAGAGAATTTACACTGACTCAAACCACACTGCTGTTAGAAAGCCATCTTATTCTCATAAATAAATTATATGGTGAAGCAATGTTGGTTTTCAGCGGGATAAAATATCACTGGAGATTTCCATCTGCTAGTTTCTTTTTTACAGACAGAGCAAAGTTTCTGTCCATACATTCTCTCTACATCCTTAGATTGGTTTGGTTTTAATTTATGTGAGAAGGAAAAATAATTTTTTATATCTGTGTTGCAGAGAAATTTCAGCAACAATCAAAATTAAGGAGAGTATTTCCAAAGAACATCCTTACACATTTCCAATAATAATACTGTGGATGCACATATTCGTAAGGAGGCAGATTTTTCTCTGTGCTTTTCCAGACACATACATTGAATAACAAACATAACTCTAGCCATAACCTGTATATCATGATTGTTCATGGCCTGGCATTTGTATGCTTGTTTGCAGATTTATATCAGTGTCGAGGGACCATGCAATGATCGTGGAAATTTGCTCTGTTTCTTTTACACAGACTTAAAGGACAACATGAGGAGCAATGCAATGGAGAAAGGCATCTTTTGTCTTGTCACTAGCAAATGGAAAGGTTGTATGTAGAAGCTAGAAAAGCTGTTTCAGATCACTAAAACTTACTTTTCCTGGTTTTCGTTTGTTTCCTGCTTGTTTTTTGAGAGAGGTACATATGATAATCCACCTCGCTCATGTTTTTCTGTAGTGTTTTTTTTTTTTTACTTTCGTGTCTAGAAGCAATCCCAAGTGAACCGCTGATGATGCTCAGAGGACTGCACTTCTAAAGCACTTCTGCCTATCCACACTTGGATCCACTGAGCAGAGCCACTGCTGGTGTCAGGTATACCCATGAATTAAGTGACCAGACAGTGAAAATGACAGCTGTAGTGACGTGATTTGCTAAGAGAAAAATGGTAGCACATACTGTCTGCAGCCTTATTAGGAGATAATGAAATCACATTCCCATTGACTCCACTGAGATGTCACTTTCAATTTCCACTGCTCCCTACACAAAACCGCATGGCTAGCTGATAAGACTGAGATTATACTTGCCACCAGTAAATGCCTCTGCCAGCATGGGTCATTCACGTAATTTGGCTTTCCTTTGCTTGGATTTTAAATCCAAGCTGCTGTTTCTGGGTTTGTTGTTTGTTTTGGGTTCTTTTAGTAGGTGTTGTTTTTTGGTTTTCTTCAATCTTCCAGCAGGAAAAATACAAAATTTGAGATTCAATCAGCAAACTGTTCTGCTAAGTTGATTGATCTCCCCCCACTGAGAGTGAATATACCTCCTCTTTGTAGAAAAGACCATACAGTGTTTGATAAGTCCCACCTGCTTTAAATTGATGGTGAGGAGAAGGAAATTCAAAAGAAATAAAATCACTTAATTCAAGGCCTAAACTATCCCAGCCTGAAGTGAAGGTACTTTTACCTGTGCAGTTCTATCCTGAATATGGTTTCACATTTTAGAAACCATTCTGTGCAGCTTGCAGTGGCTGCTCAAAGGGGTGCTTATGCATTTCCTTCTTCCCGAGTGGAGTTTAGGGAGCTTCATCTGTAGTCTTCCTTCTCTCTTGGGTACATTTCCTCAGTGCACTCTGTGCTTAGCGGAGGACAGGTTTCCATCCTCTCTGTTGCCTTACCAAGTAAAGCTGGTTGCAGGGAATACAGCACCTGATGCTGTAGGAAGATGGCTGTTCTGATGTGCGTTCAGGTGCCTTCTGATGTCCCCTTGAATTTCATTATTCCCTACTCCTTACAACCATATAGAGAAAATTACTATGTTTCTAGCATTACTGGACCTGTTTGCTTGTCTCTTTCTTACACATGCTTTTGCGTAGTCTTAAACTACTGAAAGATTACAGGTCCAGCCATTAAGATCTGGTTTAAGCAGTTACACCCTAACCATATGAGGTGAGAGAAGGGCTGTGCAGACAGGTATCTAGAGGTAAAAGTCAATCTGCAGTGGCCTCAGCTCCTGATGCTCACTTCAGATTTTTTTTAAAAATGGTTGCATTTTTAAAATTGTTTTTTCATCATTAAGCTTACTGACTTCTTTCACAAACCACTGGCAGAAAGCAGGACTGATCCACTCTCTTGCATGGAAACCACAATCAATCAAGATGGCCTTCTTATTTGGACCACTTTTTCCCATCTAGAAAACAAAACAAAATGAAACAAAAACAAACAAAAAAACCCCCACCAAACCAAAAACCCCAAACCAAAAAGAAAGCAAAAGAAAACACAGGTGTTGAATAAAACAATTTGTATGCAGAACAAGTCAGTCAGCTTCCTGACCTAAGAAGTCAAACTTCATACAATTATAGCATTCCTTGATTAAATTGAAACCTATAGGGTGCTCTTATCTGTAGCTGACCATGATATTCGAGCTAAAACAATAAATACTTAATAATTTAATTTTTATTAGAGAAGCTTCTTCTCCCTATTATTTGATTGTTCTGCACTGTTGACTTATTTCTTGTACTGTCTCTGAGAGTTGATCTTGTTTGCTTATGCGATTTTGGGCAAGTTATGGTTATTCTTTCACCTTTATTTAAGTCATTGCATCTTATTTATTCGAAGAGTTACATCAAAAAAATTGTCATGGTTTAACCCCAGCCAACAGCTAAGCACCGCACAGCCACTCATTCGCTCCCTCCCAGGCAGCATAGAGGGGAGAGAATTGGAAGGGTAAAAGTGAGAAAACTTGTGGGTTGATGTCCTGGGTTCAGCTACAGCAGTCATTTTTTCTCCTTCTTAGTAGCTGGTGCAGTGCTGTGTTTTTGACTTTCAGTCTGGGAACAATGCTGATAACACCGATGTTTTTAGTTGTTGCTTAGTAATGTTTACTCTGACCAAGGACTTTCTCAGTCTCATGCTTTGCCAGAGAGGAGGGGAAGCCAGGAGGAAGCAGAGGCAGGACACCTGACCCAAACTGGCCAAAGGGGTATTCCATACCACAGCACGTCATGCCCAGTATATAAACTGGGGGGAGTTACCCGGAAGGCCCAGATCGCTGCTCGGGTCGGGCTGGGTATCGGTCGGCGGGTGGGGAGCGGTTGTGTCCTTTTCCCTTGTTATTCCTCTTATCATTATTATTGGTAGCAGTAGTGGTTTGTATTATACCTTAGTTACTGGAGAGCTGTTATCTCAACCCGTGGGAGTTACATTCCTCCGATTCTCCTCCCCATCCCTCCGGGAGCGGGGGGAGGAAGGAAAAGGGGGGGATTAAGCGAGCGACTGCGTGGTTCCAAGTTGCCGGCTGGGCTTAAACCACGACAGTTGAGCTAAGAACAGTTTAATAATGGAAATAAAACATTAAAAAATAAAATTAAAATAACAATGAGAGAGCAGTAAGTCCCAAGGAAAACAAGTGATGCAAATGAAAACAATTGCCCAGCCAGTCCCTGAGCAGCAGCCCCACTACCTAACCTTCCCCCTAGTTTATTGCTGAGCATGACACCATACGGTACAGAATATCCATTTGGTTAGTTGGAGTCAGCTGTCCTGGCTGTCGCCTTTCAACTTACTGTGCACCCTCAGCCTGCTTGCTGGCAGAATGGTGTGAGGAGCAGATAAGGCCTTGATTGTATAAGCACTGCTGAAGAGTAACTAAAACACCCCTGAACTATCAACACTGTTTCCAGCACAAATCCAAAACATAGCTCCATACCAGCTACTATGAAGAAAATTAATGCTACCCCAGCCAAAACCAGCAGAAAATTATATTTGATGAAGATACAAACAAATTTGTTCCCTATTGCTAGAAAGACTGACGTTTGTAGATCCTTTCAGAGTAAATGTGTTTACAAACAACAGATGGAGAGAATATAAAGGTAGATGATCATTCAAACAGCTTTCAGGAATTTGCTTGAATTTATATGTCTGATCTTCTAATAATTCATTATGCCCCTTTTAAAATGTATTATATCTTCTGCAAAATGTATAATATGATCTTAGCATCATTGGTGTTTTAATAGACATCAGAATCTTGGGAGGTTAGTAGAGAAGTCTGGCACAAAGAAGTCTAAGCACTTACTTTGAGAAGGTATATTGGCCGTCCTTCATATGTTTTCCCAATTACACTGCGAGAGACAAGGTTTGGATTCTGAGCAGCAATATCAGCAGTCCAAGCAGCTATCTGTTTAATAAGGAGGTTAAATTTACTGTTGTCTCTGTTCCTCATGTCCAGGCTAATTAATTCACAGACTTCAAGCCAGAGCATCTAACTTGACCTAATATTTAATACAGGTTGTAGATTTCCAAGAATTAATTACTACTTGTACTAGAGCTATATGTCTGAATTAAGATTTTCTAGTATGAGTTTCTCTAAACCTGTCATTGGAGTATGGCTAGTGGATTACAATACTCTTTGAATGCTGATCCTATATACTTCTAACCTTGTCACCTCTAAAGCTCTCTTAACAAAAGAAAACATTTTCTCATTAGCTAAGTAAATGGAATGCCTTAAATCTTCTGTATGTTGTAATGTTTTCAGTTTATGGTTTTTATTCATCATTTTTGAATTACTGACAGAAGTTCTGGGCACGGATTTGTAGAAACAGTCCACCAATGCCAGATACAAAAGAACTAATATCTCCTTAATTCTATTTATTATTTAAGGGAAGTAATAACAGCCTTTATTATCTTAATATTGGATCCGATTCCCTTTGTTACAGTTGCCTTCAGAAGCTCACAGAAAATGTTGTCACATCCACACAAAAAAGCAATTTCATGCTCAAAGAGCTATCTAGAAACTAAGAAAAAGACAGGAAACAGCAGACAGATCTAGACAAACTGACAAAGAAATACTAGAAATAATGCTTAACATTATGGATGTTAGGGGTTTTTTGTATGCCAATAAGCTTTACTAACTCAGAGGTATTCTTGTTCTTATTTTTAAATAGCCTTGTAAAAGGAGACTTTTTTGGGTGGTTTTTTAGGAGAGTTGTGGTGGAAGAAAATTGATTAGTTTTGTATATGTTCTATAGATACTGCCTGGAGAGGAAATACATTTTCTTGTTCGAAAATGTAACGGGTGCTTAGTGGGCAATGATCGTCACAAAAATGAAAGATTTTTGCAAGGGAGGACTTGAATGGGAGATTGTCATACTTTTAAGAACTGTGATGCAGTGGATGATAAGGGGCCACTGCAAAGATGTGAAGAGTGACACGGTCAAGATTATGTGACAGGAAAAATAAGCATGGCTGTGAAAAAAGGAGGGAGGAGCAGAGAGCTCATGGTGGAAGATGAAGAGCTAGAATTGGGGCAGGGAAATAAATCAGGTTTTTTGGCAGAGGAGATGGAAGAAGGAATGAAAAGGAAAGACCAAATTAGTAGTGAAGCATGTCAGGCTGGTCATTGGATTTCTGACAGTCTTTGCATCACTGGGAGCAGAACTAGAGGATATAGGTGTAGGGGAATTGGTTATACAGATTACCTCAGTAATGCGCAATAAAGGAGAAGAGGAAGGAGAGTTTGGAAAAGGAGCTGTCATATTAGTTGATGCAACAGAAGAGGAAAAGGGAAAAAGGCTGGAAGCATATCAGAAGCCATTTTGACTACAGGGGCTGATAAAATTGTAAACTTCTAGACTTTACCGTTTCCCAGTTGTTGTACTTTTCATAGCTGTGTCCAGTGGCACGAGCTTTGCTGTCAAATTGGGCATCCAGTGCAGCCTGCACGTTGTCGATCAGAACTCTGCAATAAAGCACCATGAAAAGTGTAAAGAGAAACATAAGATTTGCTAGCAGGAGAGTAAGCAGCAGGTAGACATTTCAGGGTCTTCCTGGAATTAATTCCACATAGATTGTGAACTGAAATGTAGGGTGTTTGATTTATGCATTTGAAAATAAGATACATAAGGTTCAAATTTCAACCTACGTTCTGTCTCAACCTTCCCACCAGAATGATCAGGGAGCAATAGGTTCCTCCTAATTAGCACCTGCTTACTTAGTCCCACACTAACAAACCTCCCGGGTGGCAATGGTTTGGTTTAGGAAGACCAAACCAAGCTTCCAAAATTTAGGTGTGATTTAACAGCTCTATTGCAGGTGGCATTATCCATCCTCCAAGCTACTTTACTGCATGTGAGTTGCGCTGTGAAAGTAGAACACACAATGTCAAGAAAACCCCAGCATCCTGTCTGGTTTGGTTGGAACTCTACTGTTCATTTTCCCTGGGGTTGACACAAAGGCAGAGCTTATTGTCGAGCGTACTCTTGAGGACCTTTTGCTTATATTTCAACCTTGGCTATCAAAAAATGAAGTCCTCTTGTTTTTCCAGTGCTTGTCTTAACATTCATGTCTAACCTTACTGATCCAGGATATGTCCTTGATGACCTGTGATTTGGATAGAAGAAAGAGCAGGAGGCCAGTTTGTGAGGCACCACCAGCCTTCAGAACAAAGAGTGCAAATGACTACATTGACATGATGTCATGGCATTGCAGCTGCACTTCAAAAGAATTGTAACAGCTTGGTTGACACAAGGACGCTTCATTCAAGTTTGTCAGGGACGCCGTCCAGACATTATGGCCTTTGTTGCAATCAAAAGATTTGTACTTGGACCTGAGGGAGTTTGTGAATATTATAGGAAAAACTAACATATGTACAGTAACTCCTCCTTTGCCAAAGAGGAAATTCCACTGAAACTGGATTCCTGTGCTGTATGTGGGATGTGATATTATTAAAAATTATTTCTTCTAGAGTGTTTTTAGATTCTGTTCCCCCCCTGGCATCCAGATCAGACATGGTTAACATGAGGACAGTAAGTTTAGGGATGGATTATCCTCAGATTTAGCAGACTGTAAAAGCTTTGTTTCATGGGAACTGTGGTGTACAATGAAGGAGTTTAGTCTAGCAGCAACAACAGTGGAGCTGAGAGACAAAAACTCTCAATTCAGCCAAATGAAGTAATGAGAATTTGATCAAGTAACACTGACTTTCAGTGTCTGAATACATGATGTTAACAAAATATCCATTACCCATTGAAGAAGCCTGATAAGCTGGGCTGAGCCAATCTGCAGTGCTCAGGTGGAGCTAAAAGAAGAACGAAGACAGACAACTCTGCTCCACTTCAGCCCAAAGTCAGCTTATCATCTATGGTTAAAGCTTAACTGGAAGACATGAAGTAGAAGCAGATGGCTGGTCTGGCTCTTTTCTCCTGATCTGGCTCTTTTCTCCTTATGCTCTGGTTGGCGCTACTCACTACAATGCTTCAATTCTCAGGGATGTTTAATGTGGCAGCGTGATCTATTTCCTCCACTTAGGCTGCAGTTGTATTCAGTCATGGAAACTCAGAGTTCTTTTACTTCTGGGTGATATACTTGTGAAATAGTTAAGCCAATTAAGAGATCTCTCACTGGAGAAATCCTTGCCATGTGTCTGCTTGAGTGAGCCCAAGGCTGTCTTGGGAATCTGTTCTCCCTACTCTCTTGGTCCTTCAGGTGGTAGCTGTCTTCTCTTTGCACAAGTTGGGGTTTTTTTTGCTCCTCTAGCTGTTGTTCTGCAGCTTAGAGAACTCCGTGGGGAGCCCCTCATGGTGGCCCCTGGGGCTCACCATTTTCTGGCTTCAGTTCCCTGATACTATCATGCAAAGCCATCTGGTGCACTTTCTGGCTCTTTCTGGACCTTTGCTGAATTTTGTCTTTAGTGAGAAATCCTTCTTTTTCCCTCCATAGTCCAGCCTTGCCTACTGCAATGAACTTCCACCTCTGAGAAATTCCTGGTAGTAAGTCTTTGCTTCCTGCCTATTACCACTATCAGCATTTCACCTCACCCCTTAAGCAGAGCAGCTACAGTTCATTTGAACAGCTGTGGGAAAACTGAACTCAGTAGAAGCATCCACAGGCATGATGAAGTTTGTAACAGAGAGATCAGTTGACCAATATGTAAAGATCAAACACATTTTCCCCAGTATTTTATTTCCTTCTATTCAAAATACAGTAGTGAGAACAAACTTACCTATACTCCACTCCATTTTCTTTCAAAAGATCTTCAACCTCGAAAGACTTGTCAGCTTCAACTCGGAAATCCGCTTGCATTCTTGGCCTTACCAGTGTGGCAGAGGCTGGCTGCCAAAAGTCAACCTAAAAGAAGACCAAAGGAATACATAAACAAATAAATACATACATATGGCTGTGATTTTTAGGTGTGCATATGTGTGATGGTGATGTTGATTGTCATTAATTTCTTTGGAGTTTTTTGCCTATAAGCCTTAGAAGCAGGCTCCTGATTCAGTAGCAGAGGGATGCTTTGTGAATATTTTACATAAATCAGATGAGAAAGACTGTTGTCTGTATGAATGCCTTTAAGACTCAGTTCACTGAAGTCGGTATGAGGAATCTATACCTTTGGAAGGTGTTTAGTTCCAGGTGGAAAAATGACAATGCTATTACTATTTGACATATTTTTGCTGAAGTCAGCTTCCAGAGCTCAGGATTTAGTGCCTTATTAAAGGCCAATGAAAGCAAAGCTGGTTTGCCAACTTAATGACTTTTCAGCCTTTCATCTTGTGAATGTAAAGAAAATTGGGGCTCATGGGCATATTCATGAACTATGTGTCTTCAAGTGAGTTGGCTCTTCCAGGATATACTACCACATCAGTCCTGACTGATTGCTTTGTGTAACAATGGTAGTTCTATGATCCTTTCTTTGCTTAAAAGAAAACAATCCCTTTATACTACAGACTTAAAAGCCAGCATGGTATATTAATTTTCTTGATATTGGCAGCACCATTGCAATAGTATATAATTCTACAGAATGCTGTTCCAGCATGCTATACTAGCCTGTTGATGATAGTTCTCCACATCTGTACTTCGTTAGAAATACCATCCTTTTATCCTACAGATAATGGTGTCTTTTTCACTAACAGCTATTTTACAACATCAAAGCTGAAGAGAAATATTGAAAACATATTTGCTGTCTTTATTGTTTTCCTCATGTCATCGTGTCATCATATATTTACTTCAAGGTCAGTAAGAAACATGCAACTTGGTTGGAGAGAAAAGAAGCTTTAAAGGAAAGTCAGAAAAGATGACATGAGAGACTAGAGGTCAAAGAAAAGTTAATTTGTTGGGAGTAGGGATTTTTATATTATTAACATGAGGAAAATGTTTTGCCTGTAATGGTAAAAGTTGTGGTAGTTGGAATTTCCATGTTTTATCTATGCATTCTTGAAAGCACGCCACACTGAACACAGCTTTCAGATTAACTTGTTCTATTAATAAATTCTGGTGGGCACTTTGATGTTTGGACTGGGTTAACCAGGCTTTCTAGGAAGGTGTTGGAATGTATTTGTACAGCTCTAGCTTTATTACCTTGTCCTGTTCCTTCTGAAGAAATACTTCAGCTGACTTGAATGGTATCAGGATTAGGTCTTTAATGTAGTAGCATGCTTTTTTTTTTGTTATGATATGTTAGTTGAACAAAAGGAGAAATGTTAATTGCAAATACAATATAGCCCTTTCCCCATGTTCTTTACCTGCATGTTGTTGCTAAGTGAATTGATGATTCCCACCTGCTCATCATTCTGTGGAATCACACGGAATACCTTTTGCCTGAAAGGAGAGAAGAAGATTGGATTTGAAACAGGTAAGTCAGTTGAAAGGCTTTTGCTCATACAAAAGAAATTGTGCCGATATAAAACCTGATGTCTGTTCTTACCCATCAAAGGCAAGGTCCTGCAGGTGAGCAGAAACAGCTGCAGCACCTATGAGAACCGAGAGTGCCCACATTTTTTTTTTTTAAAGAAAATTCAGTTCTTCTATGCTGCTTTTATAACCTGTTTTGTCCTGCTTTTTATCAATCATATACCAGAACAACCCACTGACCAAGTGACAGATTATTCCCTTGGCCTTGTTTTATGTAACACTGTTTATAATGTGTGTTTTACTCCACACCTGTGCAAATAGCTGAAAGTCTAAAGGGGGACTGGCTAAAGAATCTTGCTGGATAAAATCTTGGTATGAGAAAGTTAATTTAATTTACTTTGTTCTTTTCTGTTGTATGTGAATTTTGAACACCCCCCTCCCTCAACCCTCTAATCATTTGGTTGCTGAATTACAGACTTTATAATACTTTATTGTTTCTTTATGCAATGATAGAAGTCTGTGAGGTGTTGTTGCAGTGTGACTGTCTAAATCACACAGAATTGTCCATTTTCCTGAATAATAGGGGGCTGACTGACGAAGGAAGAGGGAACACAATTGGGGTGTACCATTTATCTTCTTTTATTTTTTTTTTTTCCCCCAACAGAAAAGTCCTGAGGTTGTTCTTTGCTGAGCCATTTCACTGAAACTTAAGTCAGGTGTCTACAGAACTGAGAGCATACAAACTTCTAGTCACAGTGCAGTGGTACATACGCTCCACATATACTGTAATAATAATCTTGCATATTCTCTAATCATGTAAGGATCAGAGGTGAATGTCTTAAATTAAGCACACATGTAGGCCAAGAAGACCAAACGAAATGTAGTCATACAAAAGCATTTTTAGCTTTACCTTTCATGTTGTGCCTAAACTATCTGAGAAACAATAGTGTGTTTGTGTCACTGTACTTGCATCTGTTTAGTTTTCATTAATGAGTACTTGGCATTAAACGTAAAGTTAATTGTTTGTTGAAGCTGTGTCATGAGGTGACTGATGTTTTTGACAGCAAGCCTCTAAATGAATTGGTTTATACATATATAAAGAATGGAATTTAGGAGCTCCATTCTGTGTTCTGTTATGCTTAAGTGACCAGGCAAATTGAAAGGGTTCAGACACAGGTAATCTTGAAGATGTTCTTTGACTCCATGTCTGCTATTTTGCAGAAATCTATATATATGCATATCATATAATGTGAAAAATTATTAGAAAATTAATATATATTCATCTTAGATTAAAAGACATAGTTACAGTTTCAAAATGCAAAAACTTGAATAGTCAGTGACCATTTTAAGAATGAATGTGACATCAGACTTCTGCACCTAATTTTTTATGAGGTTCTCTGGAAGTCAACTCAGTAAAGCTGCATCAGCCTTTTATCTTGAATACCTAGAAATATATTTCTAAAATCAGTGTAGCAAAAATGCAGCATTTTATGCTTAACAATATGAGCCATGACATGTTCCTAAAAGGAGACTCCAAAACTGCACTGAGCCTAATTATCCTTTGCCAAATCATAGGGTTTGAACTTACTTTACAATTAAAGACCTAATTTGTAGCACTGCAGGCTCTTGCCCAGCAATAATTTTACTTAGAATCAAGTCTCCTAAGAAGGATGACAACAGGAGTTATTCTGACAGAGTGCCAAAACAACTCTGCAAGGTCTTCAGAAGTTTTAATTTTATGATGTATCTACAGTATCAGAGAAAATGGTCTGATCCCATGAACACTGCTAAGACGATAATGTGGAGATGATCAAGCCCATATCTTGCAATGAATAAATGATCAGAAGAAGTAATCAAACAAATTGTAGATGTCATCATTCCCTGTTGAGCACTGAGAAACATCTGGAAAATAGGAGATTGCCAGATTGCAATGCTTGAATTTACTTCTAAGAGATTTCTTACTTTTTCATGCAGTTGAAGATTTTTTTTTTTCTCCAAACAATCACCGATGCAGCATTACTGCCATCAACTATTGAGCTGGCAAGCATTACTCAGTACTATAACTTCTAGTGGCAATCTTCACTGTTTCCATCACAGACTAGGTCAGAAAAAAACAGTGATCTGGAATCCTGCTTTATTTTGCATCTCAGAATTGATGATTATTTGTCACATTAGCTCAGAAACTAGATCTAAATATTGTCTTGTTCTTCTAACTATATAATATAAATGTTTAGTATTTGTATGATAAAGGGGCAGCATAAGGATAAATAAAATAGCAAATTAAATTTGGTTAAGCCATCTGTTCTTTTTAGCATCTGATTATAAGCCAACAGTACATCAGTTGGCCATGGCTGAGTAAACCTTGGCTTTCCCTCTGCACTCAGTGTTAAGTAGTAAAGTTTTACCTATAATTTTGAAAAGATGCAGAATGAAGATTTAATTGTTTTTAATCAAGGAAGTAACAAAACAAGCTGAATCCCAAAAGGAGTGTGTGTAATGATTTCTTTCAGGACACATTTTGTTTTACACTTAAGGTGAGCACAGCTGAAAAAAAATGTCACCTATTGCGATTTTGTTGCAGTTCTTTGTTTTTGTAATGATTAAAACTCAAGCGTTCTATGATGCTGTCACTTGACAAAGACTATGCCCTGTGTTAAGTGACATGAGCTGTAAAAAGTTTTTATGCTAAGAATTGGCCATATTCCAGCTGAAATTAAAGTTTGTAGTAATTTCTTATTTCAGTTTTAGGAATAAAAATACACTGAAGCTCCACTTTGAAGGCTAACTGCAGGCTGATAAAAGGAAATAATACACATCAATGTTAGCATTTCAGCAGCATCCTTTATCCTCTGAAGCCTTTCATCCCATTTGTTATCAAACTGAGTCCAAAAGTCCAAAAAGAGGATACATGATGTCTCTTTTCCTAGGAGTTTCAGTAGATACAGATTTCCTGAATCAGATAGTATGTTGAGCTATATTTTAAAAAGTCTTCTATCTTTAGTTACAAATTATTGTCCATTCTTATAGGCCTTGATTGATAAATTTATCTTCTTAATATTGTTTAATATTTATTATGTTCCAAAAGATCAAATTCCTCAATGTCCAAATCTTAACATGGCTTATGTATGTAATGTAGCAAAATCGTAACATGTGTCCCAGAACAGCCACATGTTTTTGAATTATGGGGACCTTCTTATCATCATTTATTTGTTAAGGTATTATGTGCTAACTTTAGTTTTGAAGAGTTATAGTATTGAATATAATCTGAAGACCTTTGAGTGTAGTTTGAAGAGGCCAGGATCAGCAGAATCTGCTATCCAGCATGGCTCCAAGCTTTCATGGTATTTTTTCTGTATTTATATGTTATTAATATTGCATCTTTTAATTCATCAAAGGCTTTTTCAACTTCAGTGCCCTGGGGCATGCTCATATCCTACCATTTGGTAACTATGTGTAGGTATCTTCTTCCCCGCCACCCCAGATTTGTGGATGCTACTTAGCATATGAACAGAAACTGCATAAGGAGAGGAAAGAATGGGAGTGATGAGGTCTAAGATATGGAGCAAAAAAGGGTGGCTCTCGTGACTTTGGGATGTGTTTCTACTTCTGCTACAGACTCATCAAATGAGAAAACCCAAAACCTGTAGCTGTTCTTTTCTAGGGTTAGTGGATTCTTGCCAAGGATTCTCCTGTGAAATAGGTATCATATTTTTACCTCTACTGTTGACTACTAGTAGTTGGGGTTAAGACTGAATGTGTTGCAGCTTCATTATATGGCCAATGCACAGATTGCTTAGTGTTTAAAAGGTATTTTATGTTACTGGCTAGAAGTTGTTTCATATACCATACACACTCAGATTCTTATTTGCTTGAAAAAAATCTGAAATACACTGAAATAGAAGCAGTGAATAAAGGTATTGGCTGTGCCAGAATTCTCAGAAACCAGACACTGAGAATCTGTTTAGAGCCAAACAGAAAAAAAGATACTTAATGAAGAAATGAGAATGGCTGACCTCACACCCATTGGTTACAGACATCTTCTGCTTGATTAGCTTGTCCTTGGGATGGGCCTTCTGTCATGCACAAAGGTGTGGCGAGTTCTCATACTCAAGCCTATTCCCTGGCGTCTGTAAGGCTGAAAGGGTCATGGCAGGACTTAGAAACAGTACAAAAAAAGTTGTAAGGCCCTTCCCCTTAGAACCTTTAAGGCACTGAGATCAGCATGTGGTATGTAGTGAGAGACGACACCTACAGTGAAAAGTTCATAATCTAAAAAGTACATGAGTAAGTAGGCATACGGTGCTTTTACTAACAGAAGCCAGTTGAAACTTTCATCTTCCTGCAGTGTCCGAAGGGTGTATGAGTTTCTTGTCTGGTGTAGATCATCAGAACGTTTACACCTATATATTTTCTCCACCAATGTCAGAACCAGATGTTGCTGAGGCGGTGCTAGAATTATTCTGTAATGAGATACAGGAGTATCTGCCCACTGTTGAGGCCTCTCCAGGACATCTAATGTGGGTTGTTAGCACATTGTCTTCTCAGTATTCCTCTAGTTCCCATTCTAGGCTCTGCAGGGGCTGAAGGTAAATCAGGCTGTCAGTGTGCAATCATCCACCTCCTGTTTTGACAGAAGGATTTAGACAGATGAGTCTCCATTTCATCCAGCTAAATATGATCCAGACAGCGATGCTATATTGGAGTTAACACAGCACAGCAGGATCACTATGCATGGGAATAAAGACAGATGATAGATAACAGAAGAGACCAGGGTCCATAAAAAAACATTAGCAAGAATGGTTTAAGGAAGAGAATGGACTGAGCAGCTTGATTCTATACTTAGGCCTAACTGATTATTTTTTTTTACAGATTGCTGGGTAATTTAATGTTCCATTTTGCTTTTTGTATGTGGTGGCCTTCATGGATGGTGTAAATCATGAACATTCTTCTTCTCCTGCATAGCTTTTTTTTTTTCATCTGTAGACTTGATAAAGTTCAGAGCTTAGTGCTTGGATAGTTACCTTCAACTCTGAATGATTTGGAGCCCTTTTCTGATAAGCAGGTTTTATCAGCTGCTGTTATACCTAGGTAAAGGTCAGGAATTTCTACCACTTCAGGAAAACAAGACTGTTCAGATATTAATG